TACTTGTGCAAGTATGTCGCTAGCCCAAGGAGCTTACGAATTCCCTTGACATCGACTGGCACTGGCCAGTCGGTGATCGCCTTGGTCTTCTCGGGATCGGGGAGTACACCGTGTTTACCCACGGTGCACCCAAGAAGTGGAATTTTGCTGGCCGCGAAGGTACACTTGTTTAGGTCGGCGTACAACTTATGCTTACGCATGAGTTGAAGAACCTGACGAACGTGAGTTCTGTGAACTTCAACGTCTGTCTTTCCGCCAATAAACCGTCTATAGTTGAACACATCGTCAAAATAACTCGGTGCGAAATCCCACACCAGTCTCAACAGATTTGTAACACATCTGTTGAATGTTGTAGGGATGTTAATCAGCCACTGTGACATCACTAGCCACTCACACAGCATACCGCTGGGTGTGATCACTGCCGTGTACGGGATGTTCCGTTCACGCATGAGGATCTGATAGAATCCGTCCATCAGATCCATGGACGAGAAGACGTACTCTTACACATACCATCTATGATAACGTCCTTTCTCGGTATCGGCGTCTGAGCCGGTACCGTTGCAGCATTCGACTTGTTGAATGCGTGCGCTATCCCCCACCCTTCTGTGGCCTTTCGCACACAGAAGGTCGGAGAGCTGTGAGGGGATGTCGATTCCCTCACATGGCCTGCCGCTAAGCGATCAGTAAAGAACTTATCGATCGCTTTCACCTGTTCACGATGCAGTGGCCACTGCTTCATGACACAATATTTCGAGCCCGGTTCGAGCTCGATCTCGTTTCGAGTGCCTTTGTCTTTAGGACACTCGTGAGGCACGTATACAGGGAACACATCCTTGAATTCGATCAAATCCTTATACAAAGGATTTGCCTGAAGCGACTTCCAGGATTGAGACGTGTATCGCTCAATCCAAGTCTTCTCATCGAGGACACTTTCGTCCATCGATGGGCTACTGAGACCCCGTTCGTTCTCAGTAAACACTGTTGCCGATCGGATATCGTCCACATACTCATCATCTGTGACGAGTATGCAGATCTGCTTGACCTTGCCACTACGCAGATCACGCGAGAACCGTTTCGGTTCAAGAGTTGGAAATTGAGTTATCTCCGAAGTTAGCTTCGGAGGCACAATCAGATGAAGCGTATAAGCGACTACGCTCGATCCGTCATATGCCAAGACGTTCAACGTCTCGGTTTCTTCCTGGAAATTTGTTTCCAAAGGTTTCTGAGAGCTTAATCCCTCAGCAAGTGACTTTTGAGGAATTCCTTCCTCAAGCGCGTGGGGAATTATTCCCTCTACGTCTTCTGCATGGGGTTGTGCAACCACAGTCAGGTCCCTATCCTCTACGGTCGACTCTCCAGTCAACATAGGATGTCCGTTTTGCCATTTGGTGGCAACGGGTCTCTTCTTTCTAGGATGTTGCCCGCTAGGCATAAATTCATGTCCCGATCCACTCGACTTATTCGAATGGTAGACCTTCGGCGCTGCCTGTACATCTGTACAGCCGCAAAAAGATTGCTATACAGTGTAGTGATCAGCTACACTGAGGTCTTGTGCAATCGTGCTAGCGACCGTACCACAAGTGATGCCATCCCACTCACTCCGAGTCCATCATAACGCTTGAAGACGCTACGTGACGTTAATCAGGTAGACATCTGATAAACAGCGGCAGGCCTCTTCACGGATAGATGCTATCAGCTCACTTATAGCTCGTATCTCCTGAGATAAGGTAGTCCGAGGATGACATCAAACTTGTCATCCAGGTCGAGTACGATGAAGTCACCATCGTACTGTTCGCCCTCTAACGTGTAGTGGATTCCTACTACACGTTTCTCAACGGTAATCGATGCGCCTGTTGCAAGGCGCACCGTCATCCTCGTGAGGGGAATGTCGCGCTCAACGAACTTGAGCCTACGGCCCTCTAGTGACTGGCGTCGAACAAAGTTGTTCGACGCCCCACAGTCTACTCGGTCACGAAGCGACAAATCATTCGTCGCTTCCAACTTTAAGGTGATGAGCGAAACGTCATAACCAGGTGCAGAGACACACAATGATTGTGTATCTGGAGCAACTTTCGTCGAGAGATTTGCAAATTCTCTTGAGGTTGCTAGATCAGTAGGGCGCTCCGCTCCTACTGACCCCACCCATTTTTTGATGGTCCTCTTCGCTGTTTCGGCTTTGCAACAGCACCGGGCCCTCGCCCTCTAGTTCTTCTTACTGGTAGACGGTTACTACGCTCAGCACCACGGGGTCCTGAGCGGGGGATACTGCATTCGTATGCATAGTGTCCCAGCTTATGACAGAGGTGGCATCTCGACATTCGCTTGTCGTTCACAGGGCGATTTTTCGCGCCCTCGACTTTACAGAGGTCCATTGGCTCTGGAACTCCGGCTGCTAATCGTCTCTGTGGACGATGCGGGGTCAACGTAGCGTGAGACTGTCTCACGCTATAATCTTCTTGCTCCGCTGCGAAGATTGCTTTCGAGAGCGTCTTTAGCTCCCCGCGGAACAGGTGGTCCCTAACGGGACCGTATGAAAGCCCTTGAATAAAGATTGTGATCAACACAAACTCACTCACAGGGTTCAATACCATGCAGTTCGCAAGGTAGCGTACATGTTGATCGTAAGCGTGAACCTTACGCTCACCCTGCTTGAGTTGCAGGAGCTCCGAAAGAGTCCTGAAATATGCTCTGGGTGGCTCGAACGTCTCACTGAGCAGGGTCTTAAAGATCCTCAACGACCCAAACACATTTGGGTCGTGCAACTTGAGGTTCAGGGCCCAAGCTCTGGCTGCTCCTGCTAGGTTAGACTGAGCAAATGAGACTTGCATTCTCTCATCGTCGATGCGACGAGCATAGATGGCATCGTCCAGATCGACGAACCACCTCAACAGGGAGTCTTCCTCGACTCCCCGATACTTGGAGACGTCTAGTTTTAGAGACTCCCGTCGACCCTCTTGCGTCGGCTCTGCGGACTGAGACTGTTGTTGTCTCGGTGCTTCGGTCCGCTGGTGATCGTTTTGTTGTAACAAGGTCACCTGCGCTCGCGACTCATCAAGTTCTCGTTGCAAGAACTTGCTCATGTCGACATGTTGCTGGTCTCTATCCCTTGAGGATAGCATGACCCAGATGACTTCCTCGCGAGCGGTCGAACTCATTCGTTCGATCGCACTCCATTCGATGTCGCTCAAATGGGAGTAGCTTTCACGGGTTCCGTGAAAGCTGTCACCGTCTACATCATCCAACATGTTCATGCTGGGCGATGGAGTTGTGGTCCTTGGACGGACTACAAAGTGCTACCAGGTGTAACGGGGCACTGTTGACTACGTACTGGCTGACCAGTACGGAGTATACTTCCACTGACGACAGTGGTCGACAGTGCCCTTCTAGGTGTTTAAGGAACACCGAGGAAGGAAAGGAGACTAAGCAGTCAGACTAGTCTCTTGGTAAACGTAAAACTGTAATTAATATAATTAAGTCCTATAACTTCTTGAATCTCTGTTGTCCTGACTCAATTATACCAATATAACTAAACGTATGATGACGTCTACTCACCACCCATTGCGCGCGTCTAGCGGCGATTGGTGGCTTGATATCATCATGATATCAACCAATGAGTAGACCCTTCGGTCATCCCAACAATATCATCATGTCTGTGATATTGTTATAAGAAATTTCGACGTAATATTCCTTATTGTCAAATTGTCTTAATGACAATTTCACGTAACGGGCTACCCCGTTATAGGCACAGGATCGTGTATTTTGGAAGGACCAGACTGAGGCGCTTATAACGTACGCGCGGCTTAGTGGACTCTGGTCGAGAGAAGAGAGACACGAAAGGAACGAAAGATAACCGAAGCATGCGGAAGTTTAGCCAATAGTGTGACAAGACGGCTTGCGCTACGCGCTTACATACATGTGTACATTTCATTCTCAATGGTATGTGTTTATACGTATACATGCGTAAAACCCCGATGGTGTATCCGGTTAATTTTTGATAATCTTTTGTGATACAAATCGTGATACATATCGTTCATATTTTATGTCGTAGAGTCTATTTATAAATTAGCTACTGTTTTTCTTTCTTCTAATCTTGTCTTTTTATCCTTTCATTATTCATCTGAGATAATCCGCATCGTAGACAAATTGCTACTGGGCTGTAGTGGAAGCACTCTCAAGCGATGGCACGATTGTAACGCTTGCGATCCTTCGTCCTACCTGTCTCTCATGCTGCAGGTAAAGAGGAAATGCCATGGAACACAAATGCCACCGCGAACGACTTGGTTCCCAGATACATCCTCGCGGTAAAGTACGCTGTACTGATCGTCATAGCGCGCCGGACGCGCTTTCTGATGTGAAACGACGATTACGAACGCGCGATGTCAGCGATGTGCAGCCGTCAATCTCCACAATGCAAACCTATTTTTAGCGCTCTTGTCCAACGTCATCGCAATTTAAAAAGCTGATTGTGCTGTCACGAACATGTTGTACACGCCATATACAACCGCAACTTCTTGTTCGTGTGCAGAAGCAGTCGCGCATGTCTCTCTACCTCGCGGGTGCGTTTCTATCCGGGTGCGTTTCTATCGACAAGAGCTGGGAAGCTTCGACAAGCTCAACGTGTCTCTCGGATCGTGCTTGCAGTTTATCACGACATATCATTATTCTCGAGTGTATCCATTGTCATGCCACGAGCAGTCGCACCGACCAAGTCGCAAGTTCTTGTTGCTATGCCACAAGTTGCTGTCCGTCAGTACAGGGCTGGCCAATAGCGCCGTCAGTCTCGGGTCCGGGCACTTGTTTCCCATAACGTGTCCGCGCGGTCAACACACGAGACTCCTGTGCGAAGGTTGCACATCCATCGTTCTTCATTTACATTGTTCTCCATTACATGCACCGAAATCTTTCGCAGCCTTAGCAGAGCCACTGCCAGTGCATCTCTCCGTCGACGCACTTGACAATCCATCGTCGAAGTCACTACTCACATCGCCTGTCATTGCTTTTCATCGCTTCCTCGATACACGCAGCTTGGCCGCTGTCTTAGCATAAATAGCACTCATCAGACTCGACAGTTGCGACGGCCGCTCGAGCAGAAACTGCTCATAGTCCGTCTCCGAGTAAAACAACTCGGCGCGGTCGTACAGCTCCTCCGGCAGCACGTGCACCTGCGGCTCCTCCTGAAACGACACGCGCTTTCGACGCGTCCCGAGCGCCGTCGATCCCACAGCGTGTCGCTGTAATTGCTGCTGTGGCCAATTTCGTGTCTCGTCGGTCCGACCGTTCCCTTTGTTTGTAGCAGTAGTCGTAGCAGTACTACCACTACTATCGATGCTCTTGTAATAGAGCGCCGTCACCCACCGCACAATCTCTTTGCGCTCGTGGATGCGGAGCGCAACGACTCGGCCAGACGCCCGCACGCGCACGTACAGACACTCGTTGTCAAAGCCAAAGACGCTCTCGTTGGCCGCCGCCGCCTGCATCTCGAGCTCGAGCGTGTCCAAGGGCGGCGTCTTGCGCTTGTAGTCGGTCCGCCGCCAGTACAGCAGCAGCGTGTCGCCGCGCAGGACGCCGTAGAGCCAGCGCGAAAACACTTTGGGATTGGCGCTTGCCCGGCCTTGGGACGTGGCCACGGAGCACGGCGACGAGGCCGAGAGCGAGCGCTTGCGCTGCTTCTCGCCGTCCATCTCGACGCGGACGAACCCGGCCATGACGGACAGCGAAGTAGTGGACGCACACGACGTCGCGCGTCGGGCCGACGCCGTCTTTTGCTTTGGGACCATGAGGTCCTTTTGTACTGTGGTGTGTTTGCTTTGCGCTTTTCGTTGCGCTTTCGTTGCCCTTTTTTCGAAAAAGAAAAGGAAAGTATGGTGTGGTGCAAGCGGCAGCCGCAGCGGAAAGGAAACAACGGGCGGTGGAAGCGGAAAGCGGTCGCGAAACGACGTGGGGCGTGGCCGCCAGATTCGGAAATGCGGCGGCTTCAAATAGATGCGGCACGATGGCCTGGTTCTGTGCGGCGTTTTTTTCTCGCCATGGTTGCTGTCGCTTGTACGGCTCCCCTAGCCCTCGATGCTCGCGCGCGCTGTCTTTGATCACTGGTCAACGAAAGTGTCTGCGTGTACGATAGAGCCAATGGAGGCGATGGACATAGCCACGAGCGAGTCACGCGACCACTGCCTGAGCAACGAGTCAACGATGCAGGCAATGGTCGTTACCGGCTGAACGAGCTGGATGGAACCCACGTCTTTTGCTACTTTGCTTGGACGCGAGTCAAACAGACTCTCTATCGTAAAGAAAGCGATAGTCAGCCGTTGACGGCTCTGGCACGTCAGTCCACGCTGCAGCCGGATTCACCCTGGCGCGAAGGCCGTCTGCTGGTCGCGGGTGAACTTTCATTGGAAAGGGGGAAATGTACTCAAGAGGACGGCTGCACATGTAGCCAGTAGTCATCCATCGAAAGCGACGTGAGGTACTGGCTATGCAGACTCGCCAGCAGCTGCTGCACTTGCACTTGAGCACGATTGCCGATAGAAAACGATAGTTCTTTGTGTGGATGCTACACGTCGCACTCTCTTCGTATGTCCTGCGTGATAGCGGCGGCCTTCTGGATGTGCGGAAATTGCAAGTTGATGATTACGTTATAGTCGTTAAAGTTGAACGACCTCTGCATGTGCAACATACAACAAATCGGGTAATCGCCTGGAGGAGGCACCGGTGTGATGCCACTCACTCATTGGCCAAGCGTTTGAAAGAAGGCAATAAGTGAATGGAATATCGATCTGCAGGGCACGCTTGACATAGCTGGCACTTATTTCAGTCCTCATATATCATAACATCATACTTCGTGTGTGGTTCGGGTGATGGGTGCGAGCAGCAATGTTTCGGCAGCGCCGGACGCACGTGTAAATCAGGCACATTATTCAAATGCAAACTCAAAGTTTATGCACCATCATTGCCTCATAACTCAGAACCAACCCAGACACCGTACTGGCGCTGATATCGCGACGACCTTGCACTCCGCGCTTCGTCCTTTTTGCAGGAAATGTAAGCAAGATTCAAATCACTCCTTTCCACGCATCTCTCTGTCAAACTCTACGCAGCAACGCACGTAAAATCCACGCGAATCTCTCCTAAATTTCAAGTCCCCTGCAAGTTCAACAGGCAAATCACTGGCGCCCAAGCGTCACAAGAGGAAACGGCGACGAGCAACATTGTCCAAGCAGAAAAATAAAGGGCAACATATCGATATCCGCAACTTTTCGCCACTCATTCAGCAACGATGGAGCAAAGCAAGTGGCACATGCAGCTCCACGAGGGCCGCGAGAGCGCTCTTCCGGCCACCCTCGAGCCTGTGGGGTACGTGAAAGGCGTCTCTGCTGAAAAGGTACGAGACGTGTGCATTGACATCGCGTCGCCTTTCGCTTTCCCTCCCTCTCTCGCTGTTGCTTTCCTCTCCTCATTCCCCTCTCTCTCTCCATTTTTTCTTTTATCTCTCCCCCTCTCGCTCTCACCACCTACCCCTAGGGCTCGACCGGAACCGTCGCCAAAGCTGCAACCAACACATCGGAGCTGAAAAAAAAGGTAATATGGCGACTTATCCAGTACAGAGTGATGGTCATGCAGAAAAGAGTGATGGTCAGGCAGACCACTAACCGAGTTGTATGTATGGTTACTGCACGTCAGCGAGCGATGGAGATCGGCATGGCGCCGTTCAAGAGTCTGCTTCAGACGGGCTTTATGATGTGGATGAGCGGCAACTCGATCAACATCTTTAGCATCATGATCACGGCCATGATCGTCATGAACACGACCAAGTCCCTCTTTACCATGAACAACGGTGCGACACGCGGCCGCTATCGGTGTTTCCTTGAGTTTTCGTCCAGACTTAACCCCGTCTCATGACGCTACTCGTTCTGATTGGCCAGCGTTCGCGTCCGTGGCCGACGGCGTCATTGACCTCACGCAGCCCAAGGCCATCTACATGGCGGGCAGTCTGGTGGGCGCGGCAATGGGCGTATACAAGTGTTCCAACATGGGCTTGTTGCCGACCACAAGCGCCGACTGGACGTGGCTGCTACCCGTCCGACAAGCGATCGAGACGTCGTCGTTTGTCTCGAGCTTCAGTGAGTAGTCGGCCGATCCGTCGGCCACTTCGTCGGTCAATCCGTCCGTCGGGCCGTCGGGCCAACTGGTCGGTTCAGTCATTAGTGGTCGCGTATCGATTGGTCGAATCAAATTGTGTCGGTTGAACGGTCAAGCGGTCGTAGAATAAGAAGTCGGTCGGGTGAATGTGAATCATGGGTCGATGAGTTTACTGGTTGTTCTTTTGTCGTCCGATGATCAACTGATCGGTTGGTTGTTCAATCGTTGTTTACAGTGGTCGGTCGCGGAAGCCTTAATCAAAGATCGGTCGGTCCTTTAGTGGCCGTTTATTGGTCAGTCCTTTAGTGGCCGTTTATTGGTCGGTCGAGATATAAGCTGGTCATACGTCCGTCGAATCGTAAATCGCTGGTCCGTTTACGAGTCAGTCGTTGTCAGTCGGTTGGTCTGATAATTGTTCCGACGTTCAGCTGGTCAGTAACTGAACTGGCTGTACTACAGTACTGGGTGGAACAACCAGCGAGCGATCACTTGTGATCGGCGGACGTGGCGTACGTAACGCGATAGAACAAGCATTACTTATTGTTTACACGAGGCAGCAGCAGAAGAAGAGAAACAGAAACGCGGCGGACGGGGGCCGCAGATCGCTTCGCGACCCACGCGACGAGCAAATCGCCGCCACTTTCGTCCTCAGCGAACGCCATCGCGCTCCCGTTCCACGTCACGCTGCAACTTATACACCGTTTGCGACCCGGTTATGCGCCATCGCTCCCTCCTCTCCTGAAGCCAATGGACGCGCTCGGCTCTCGTGTGTCCCATTCATTGTCTCGAGATGTAAATCGCGAGCGGACGTGGTCGTCTATGACACGTTGCGGCCACTTGTCTGCGGCGGACATCGGTATTCCTCGGGCAGCAGCGATCGCTGCAAGGCGTTAAAGGCAAACACACGTCGGCCAGTATTTTTAAGCGCGTTCTCGATCCGCACGCCCTCGGAACGCATGACAGAGACGATCCCGGCCTTCTTTTGCTCGCGGAGACCGTGGTTCTGGACCAGAATGCGTCCCTGCTCCAGCGTGACCGACATGCCGGTGCGGTCTTTGGCCGACTTGCACACCGTCACGCGACCGCCCGAGATGCGGCGACACAAGTCCGAGCTCAGCTGCAGGATCTCTGGCCGTTTCTTGCGCGCCTGTCGGCCAGCAGTGCCAATGAGCTTCTCGAGCTCGCCCAGGATGCGGTAGATCTCGTCCCGGGAGAGAGGAGCGGCCGAAGGATCGGCAGCCTGTGGTGTCGAAGGCGCAAACCCCATGGAGCTGTTGCGCTGGCGTCCGTGCTTTTGACCCGGTGCAGGGACTTGCCGCGCGGACGTGTAGTTGCAGTAGCGATCGCAGTAGCTGCGCAGGGACTTGAGACTATTGGCGTTGATCACGTCCTGCAGGCGGGTCACGGACGACCCCGTGTTGTTCGCCAGTGTCTGCTTCTCGTTGATCCCTTGGGTAAACAACACGGGGCATACCTTGATGGGTCGACCGTGACGAAGCGCTTTCGTCAGCTTCCCCTTTCCAAGGCGCAGCTTGATGCGAATGACCAAATGCGTGAACGGGAACAGTCGATCGACCGACGCTGGCGCGAGCGACTGCACGTTGATCCGCGTGCCGCCAGGTCCACCGAGCAGTCGATGGTTACGCGCCTTGATGAACGTACTCAGCAGCCGCTGCCCAACACCGCTGAACGACGACGAGCGAGACGATGTCAAGTGATCCCGTGCCGCGGAGCTCCGATCGGTGCTTTCGAAATCCCCGGCGTCCGCAGAGCTTGTTTCAGAGAGTGCGTCATCGACGCTTGTAAACACGTCTACGTCAATCACGCCGCTGATGCCAGCGCAAGCTGTCACATTGGTCGAATTGGACGACACGACGGACTCGGACGACTTCAACCGCATGGATGGACGATGCGCCATCTTCGGGTCTCCCTTTCCTTCATCAGCACTGCTGGTGTCGTGTCGGGAACTGCTGCCACTTGCTTCGGAAGGCTCCGATGACGATGGACTGTGCTTGAATTCCTCCTCGAGATTGTACGAGACAGACCGGTGCGACTTGTTACTACTGGCCTCCTCGTCCGTCTCGCCGAGCCCCTCCTGCTCGGTCACCAACACGAAGCGAACGTTCCGCAGCTCGTTCACTGCACCAGCCATGTCCTCCAGCATACCCGCTTCGTTCCCGTGCGTCGACACTAAACTCTCCACATTAAATAAGAAACCTAGTTTGCTGAGCTGCTTGAGCATGGCGTGGCCTTGCTCTGGCCGTGCATGCTGCAACGCCAAGTCGAGTTTGCGCGTGAAGGCAGTGACCAGCGCTGCCACGGCTTGTGGGAAGCACACATCCATTCGCTTGCCAAGGGCCCACTCCATGCCATCAGCTTTCTGCTCATCTTCCGTCCAAAGCGGAGGCTGCTGACATGCAGCCGTCGAGGTCTGTGGTACTCGCACTCGAGGCTTCAGCTTTGCGTGCTGCTCTTCCAGACCAAAAATACCGCCGTTCTTGAACTTGTACACGTGCGCGGCCATGGCACCCACGGTCACGATGTCGTACACGGCCGCATTCGCATTGGCGTCGCATAAGTTGTTGCTTCGCATGCTCGTCCGTGCTACTGCGTCCGCATTGCCAACCCACATCTCTTGCAGATGCAGGTTGATCGGGAGGAACCGCAGCTGTGCATTCTTCTTCTCTGTGCTGGCTTTGAAGTAGATTTTGCTTTGGTCGCGAAGCACATAGACGCGCCGGAGTTGACGGAGCAGGTCGACGTACTCCTTCCGCTCGTGACACCGTTGAAGCATCCACTCTCGACAACGATTCAAGTCTCCGTCGTCCTGAATTTGCTGGATCAGGTTTTCGTAGATGCCACGGTCTGATCCTTTCAGTCGCAAACGGTCGTACGCTTCGAGACGCGCAAGGTCACTCTCAGCAATAAGGAGCTCTTTGGTGCGGTACCGAATGATAACCTCCAGGATCTGTCGAGGAATCCAGTTGCTAAAGCGGCTCTCAGCAAGGTCTTCTACCACCAACAAGCCTTGTTCACGAATGTGATACTGCTTGCTGATGGCCGGTGCCGCAGCGTGGAGACCACCCTCAACGCCGTTAAAGCCGTATTTGGCACCTGCCGACTTCGGAATCACAGTGTTCACCAATAACTTTGGTGGCGCTGCGTTCGGTCCATAGTGTTTGTACGAGTCCTCTGTAGCAAGAAGCGCCGTTTGCTCAGCCCGCACGCCTGCTGTTGCTAGAGAGCTTGTAGACACTGTGAACTCGGCGACCACTTTCAGACTATGAGGCATCACACAGGACCCTAAGTTCAACTCAGACATACTTCCTCCCGAGTCGATGTCCCCGGATTCCGGTGACTCCATCTCAAACAGCTCGTCAATCACCCGCGAGCTTTGGAAACCGTTAAACGCCTCCGTCTCGACCAGCGACGAGTCCAGTGTGTATTGGCTATCGCCGTCGTCGTCGTCATAGTCGCGACTACTTTGCGTACGTTCAATAGCAGCCAACACGTCAGCAGCAGTCATTTCAGAATGATGCTCGTGGTTCACGGAAACAGGAGCTGAGTTGAGCGCATACACCACCATGCGAATCTTTTCGGCACAAGTACCGACAGGGATGCGTGGTACTGACAGGAATGTGTACACGTATCGTTGTTGGTGGGACTGTGCGATTGAACCTAAATCCTTCACGTTTGCCATGACCGTATCAGTATTGCTGATCTGCCGCCATGCAGACGGCAAACTATCTCGTCCATCTTCAACTTCCAATCGCTGTATGGCAATGAAGCAGCCATGCGGAAAATACTCGTTCATTTCTAGCGACATGGAGAGACCGATGTAATCGCCAGTAGGTGAGATCGTCGAATTCTTCAGCGAAAGCCTACTCGACAACGCATCGACCGTAGTTGCTCCTCCACTTGCCACAATCCCTTCAATCTTTTCCAACGAAGATTCCGTCCACCGATCCACTGTACTGAACGTGAAGCTGGGCGTTCGGATCTCCGCGTAGGCCGACTCCGACAAAGGACTGCAGTCGCTGGGCACTTCGTGACTAGCGTCACGCAGGGACTGCGCGGTAGCATTCCATTGCAAAAAGATCAAACAGCACGGAGGAATGGAGCACGGCAACCAAACCGTAAAGATGTAAAACCAAGGGTACGCGATCCCGTGCGTAGTGCGCGAAATAATCTGAACAACCCATGAGAGAAGATACACGAGCGTGACGATGCCGATGAGTGTATAGTATAGACGCAAAGCCTTTACCAAAACAACTTCATGAGGACCCGACGCATTACCCAGCAACAACTTGCCACGACGCATGACCATCATACCCAATGCCATCACTACAAACGTCAGCACGAGAAAGATGCCATAAGTGACGGAAGTAGACGCCAGGAAAAAACTATGGTCATCTTCAGCGTAGCATGCCCACAGATAGCCTTGGATTTCGGAAAAGACGGTAGCAGACGTGTCGGCATCTTTATTGCACTGCTGGTATGCGAGTGTCGTGATATCGTTCTCAGAGTCGTACACACGCGAAATCAGTGTCTGGTAAGTGAGTAAGTAGCAAACCTGGAGCGCGTAGAAAAGCATGTTCAGCACAACGAACGCCACAGACGTCGTAAACTTCGGCAGCTTTCGTAGACGTAAACTCAGCACAGTTCCCCAGTGAAAGCACACGGCTGTCAGCATCGTAAACGTGAAGCACAAATACACGTGCATGATGTAAAAGTACGTGCTACTATGCCTGAAAAGCCAGACCAAGTTGTTCAAAATGGCTGTGGCTAATGCCAGCACAGTACAGATCGCTGTAATATCGGTCCAAATGGAGCCCAGCGAAAATGACAGCCCGTTTTTCCGAATTGCTACAGTGCAAAATGCTAGCGATCCCACGAGTACGACCATTGTGACGTAATTGTACGGGCTGGCAGTAGCACCCGATGACAGGTAGACTGAAATGGCCGAGATCGTCCCATCGATAATCAACAGATCTTGGGAATTGCGGACGTTTATCGTGATGGCATCCAGTCCTGAGTAAGCTACGGACGGGTTTTTCACCGTATCCACACCGAGGCTAACCCAGCCGATCGGGAAAGGTTCTTCGGCCACCAGTGTCCACGAGTTATCCAAAGACGAGTACGACGAGGACTTGAAGTTATTAACCTTGCTGTCTGCTGTCTCGGCACTCAAGGCTACCAAAGCAGGAAAATCATTGTCGATAGAAGACACTGGACGATGAGCGTCCCAGAACCACGTCGCATCAGCATTGAATCCCCACTTGGATCCAAATCGGACCGTGATGGAGCTATCCTGTGGGATATTAGCTTCCGTGTAGAAAGTGAGACTGGCATTGCCAGAATTGCCTGGATAGATATTTTCTGGATAGAACGAACCGCTTGAGAGCTTTGCACTCGTCAAGTCGGTGACTCGGACGTACGTGTCGAATACCGTATTTTCCGTGTCATTGAAAATGAAAAACACCGGCGTGAGGTTCGAGTTTGTCGAGTACGTCGCGTTACTCGAGAGCCTGCCGCTATCATTGATTCCCGTTGGCGTCACCACGCCATCGAACGTAAACACAAACGTCTCGTTCGTCCGAAAGTCTTCCGTTATGTCAACCGTCAAGTACGTCCGATTTTCGTTCAAAAAAGTCGACACCTCGCACGTCGTGCTCTGTCGCTCAGCCTGAGCCAACGCGTTGAGTGGTCGTGCCAATTGACACGAGCATCCTTCTGTAAACGTAAAGCCAGGGGGACTGGCCAGCATAATTTGATGTACCGTGTAGATCTGTCCATCCATTCCGTCGGGGTAAAACACATCTAAAAAGTCCGTGGGCGCCACACTGACGCCGAACGTACCGTTCACTTGTCCAGGCGAATTGTTTTCAATGCCGCGCCAGACATTCGAGTCCAGCACAAGTCCATTGCAGCATTCATCGGTGCACGTCCACTCGTAGCCCGTTGTGTAGAACCAGAGGTCCTGGCCAGTGCAAAATGGCTGTTTCGTCGCGTCGTGCTGACACGTGGGGAAAGCCACGCACGGGTACCACGCTTGCCGGTTCTGTGCCTTGCGTCCGCTGTACTCACAGCACGGCAGGCCACTGCATTCCCCATGTGCCGTCCCAAACAGGTCGCGCGGCTGCTGTTCGTTGCAACAAACCAGCGACAAGTCGGGGTCGCCTCCAGCCAAGATCGCGCTCGGAGCAGACGCAGACGACGTGCTCGCCACGCAGCACGGCGAGCAGTCGTCGGCCACAGTCGTCGGTCCTGCCACTGCATTCGACATGGACGCCAATGTACCACTCGACTGTGCCTGTATCCTGTCCACGACGAGCACTGCCGTCAGCACTGCCAGCAATTCCTGTGGTCTCCGTCTCCTGCGCATCGCTGCTTTCGCTGCTATTGCTGCTGCTACTATTGCTATTGCTATTGCTACGGCTTCTGGTCGCCGTCGTTGCCCCGGAAGTCCCGTCGACGTATCGATACGCGACGAGTGGCGAGCGACTGCACGCGCTGTGTACTTCACTCCGGCGCTGGCCGGCGCTCTGCTGGCACGCGCACTCGCCTCACAAAAGGCGGACCGCGGCAGCGTCGAGGAAGGAAGTGCTGGCGGTGATGACTGTCGTCGGTCGTCGTCGATATGCAGCGCTGTGCGCGTTTGTCGAATTTCGGAAATACCGGCTGTTCACTGGCTGTTTGTATGCTTCGCGGCTCGACGTTTCGAGCCGCGTCAAACGAGCAGGTCCCGTCGTGACGCGAGCGGACAGAGCCAGGCCGCGTTCCACCGCGACAGCAGGGGTCTGCGTAGACGCCGTGGGGCAGCGGTTTTGACGGGGAGTCGAGTTTCACGAGGCAAAACCACAGGGAAAATGCGCTTCGTAGCTGCTCGGAAGGCCAATGTATGCGCTTCCACAGGTTTCTGTCCCACGAATCCGTTCAGAGCCAGTAACCGACTCCATTGATACATTTCTGACCGGGCAAGTGTCGGGTCGTACTTGCTTGCACAATGCCACGCCGTCCGTGGCTCGACGGTCTGCTTGCTGTCAGTTTGCGTGGCTGTCTGACTGTTTGTTCGTCCCTTGGCCTGCACGTATTTCGTGTGACGAGTGTCTTGCAAGTGCTTGTTCGCACGACGGCAGCTCGACGCTCGACAGGAACAACATGACAGAGACCTTAGACAGGATCGGCAATCAACAAGGGAAGCGCTGAAGCACAGACCGACCGGTTGACAGATTGACAGACAGACAGACCGACGCGGACGACCTTTTGGTGAGTATATCTTGGTGCGATGTGGTTCAATGCTGCTGTAAGCCGTCAGCGAAGTAACGGTACGCACCATTATGCGATCGTTCGTGCACTAGTTGGGTCAGCTGTACGTACCTCATGCTCGCGAATAACCGGACCTCGTGCGACACCCGACACCCGCGTTACCGCCCGCTTTATGACCGTACGACAAACGACTCGAGTCGTTTGCTGCAAATCACAACCCATCCAGCTGCCTGCTCTCTGGTCGTCGTTGAGAAAATAGGCCAATGGATTCATTTGTGTCCACACCACGACGCGGAAGTCGTAGGAGACTGTGGGTGCGCTCGTGTGGGTGAGTTTGAGAGTGCACTTTTCCACAGATACGCACAAGATACCGTTGTCATGATCGCGATACCTGTCGGGTTGCGCTCCGTCGTCGTCGTCGTCGTCGGTATGGTCATGATCAATGCCGTCTCTGCAGAGCACTGGGCAGTTATCGTCGCGGGATCGACTGGCTACAGCAACTACCGGCACCAGTCGGACGCCTGTCACGCGTACCACGTCGTGCGGCGGCACGGCATTCCAGCAGAGAACGTGGTGCTCATGATGTACGACGACGTGGCGTGGCACGAGAGCAATCCGTACCCTGGCCAGCTCTTCAATCGACCCGCGCCCGAGCACGTGTCACACGTGACAGAGCAGTCGGTGGTGGACGACGTGTACAAGGGCTGCAATATCGACTTTCGGGGCGAGGACGTGACGCCCGAGATGTTTGTGAACGTCCTCACGGGGAACCGCTCGGGTGCGTTGAAACACAAGAAGGTGCTTGCAAGTCACGCCGACGACCGCGTGTTTGTCAACTTTGTTGACCACGGGTCACGTGGCAACGTCTACTTTCCCCACATGAAGCCGCTGTCAGCTGCGAAGCTGAAGCAAGCAATGCAGACCATGTACGATACACACATGTACAAGGAGCTCGTGTTGTACATGGAAGCCTGTGAGTCCGGGTCCATGTTCTCGGACAGGTTCCTGAAGCGCATCAATGCGTTCGTGACGACAGCGGCAAACGGCTTTGAGTCTTCGTGGGCGACGTACTGCCCTCCGCTTGACGAGGTGCATGGCAAGTCAATAGGTTCGTGCCTCGGCGACATGTACTCGGTGAACTGGATGGAAGACAGCGACCTCACGGATCTGTCAGGTGAGACGTTGACGACGCAGTTTCATCGCGTGAAGAACGAGACAGCCAAGAGCCACGTGAAGGCGTTTGGATCGTCGAAGCTGAGCCACGAGATTGTTGGCAACTATCAGTCTACGTACGACAAGGGCGCGAACGATGTTGAATCTAGCAGCGAAGACACTAGTGACCCGCGCTTAAATACGGCAACGACTGATGTGTCATTGGCTCACAAGAGTGCGGTGGATGCACGGGACGTGGATCTTGTTGTGGCATTCTACCGCTATCTACGAGCGGCACCTGGAAACAGTCGACACGAATGTGCAGCTGAATTGACTGCAGCGATTGCAGCTCGAGAAGCTGCGGACAAAGTGTTTGAGACGATTCGCGCGCTGTACGAGCAACAGACGAAAGTGCCGTTGGTGCAAGTGGAAGAGGCCGAGAATGTCGAGTGTCACGAGCAAGTCACGCGCGCGTTCGAGGTCCATTGCGCCTTTATGGGCGGACTCAGTAGCTACAGTCTCAAGTACGCTGGAACGTTCCTGGATCTGTGCGAATCAGAGCTCACTGTAAGTGCTGCAGTGGCCGTGGTCCGCGAAGCTTGCGCGGTCACGAAGCGTCCTGGCTTTGTGCCGACGAGTGGTGTAGTTGACACCAACGTCGTGACGCTGAGCTGACCGACTGCGGGCAAACAAACGGGTGGACACGAGAAGCCGACGCTTTGGCCGTGGGGCAGCAGAGGGTTTTTCTAGTCGGCACATTACTTTTGTACACGCGTCAGTAAGAGTGTGCGAGGAGTGAAACGAACTCCTCATGTATGTGTATGTCATCCGTCCACAATGATACTTCAATGATATAATGAGCCTGAACCGTGTGACAGCGGGCCGTGTCGATAAATTCTTGCTGAGTGAACGAACAATATCAAGTAGTATCGGCCTTATCACGTGACCGTCAGCCAGCAATTGCATGGCGGTCGAGTCGTGGGCTTAAGTAGGCACTGCGAGACGAATCACGTGGTAGAGCAGCAAGTCCTCGAAAGCGCCAACACAGCATCCGCAGCGCCAGAGACACAGCCGTGACATCGTCCAAACAGTTTGCGATGGCACAGCACGGGTGTCGGAAAGAGCCTGCCGCTCTGCTACGTAATGTCCACCACGGTCACCGAAAACCGCTCACACTGCCTCCAGCTAGCAAGGAGCACTTGCTGCTTCGTTTTCGCCGTTCCAAGCGCTCGTGTCCTCGTCCGCCATAGTCGTGTCGGACTTGTCGGCGCCCCGGTCCGCGTACATCGCCATGAGCTCTTCGTTCTCGTCTTGGATCGCAACATCGTAGGGCTGTGCACACGCCAATAGATAGACCCACCGCATAACACGCACGTCAATCGTGTCGTCAGTGCCACCAAAAGACAGATCCACTCATACACACAACTCCGCACCGTCCGCCCGTCAGCATTGCGTGCATTCAAGTCCGCTCCAGCTTCCAGCAGCAGCGTCGCGCACTCCACTGTCTCGCACAAATGCAGGGGCGTGTCCCCATCGTTGTCGCCTGTACTGAAATCGTAAGTATCATAACTCCACGCGCGCCAAAGCTTATCGTATGCTGTCCACGTACCCAGCTGGAGATCCGCTCCGCGAGCCAACAGGAACCCCACGAGCTCCATGTGGCTGTAACTTACCGCCGCTTGCCTACCCATTCACCTCGTTAGCTCGTTGCACCACATGCCTACAGCCACGTTACATAGTCACACGATAGATGCAATACAAGGCCGTGTATCCGTTCTCGTCCTTGGCATTGACATCCCCTCCGCTGGCCAAAAACGCCGTGACGCTTTCCAAGTCGCCGTCACTTGCTGCGGTCCATACATTTTCGCTCATTTTGACGAAATGGGTACGTAACTCAACTGGTTCGCTCGCTGGTCGAGTCGAAGACTATACTCAGATGCAGCCAATCGGAGACACAGCAAATCGGAGCCGGTCGTCGTTCGTGCGCTAACATCGGGTGGAGATGTTGCACGGGGGCTCAACAGCGCAAGCGATAAAAGAGGGACAACTCGACAGCCAAATTGATTGCAACGCTTTTATGCCAAAGGCGTTTCCAATTAGTGATATTTATGCCATCATCGCCAACCAGAGCGAATGCCATTCCGGTGCAACGTGGTGGTACACCATTGCATTGTGATACAATTCAGGAACAAGGACCGAATGTTGTCGAGCCATTAGTTGTCGCGTCCCCGAGGACGGCCAACGACACTGTTCAAAGTGTTGATCGAGGTGTTATTCGTAATCGACAGCGCCATCGATTGCATCACCACGTCCCGCAGACGGTTCCGGAGCTTCGGCGCCACCTCATCCATCGACTCGTAGCCCTGGCGGGTCATCTCAAACACAGTGCACGGCTCGATCGCCGTTGCAGCCATGTATCGGTATTGACGGCCAAAAAAGTCGACTTCGCCAAACATGGCACCAGGCGTTACATTCTCCAATGGAACCAACGACTTGCCAGGGGCCACGCTACCGTCGTCGTTCATAAAGAGCGCCACGCGACCGCTGGCGAGGAAGTAGAAGCGGTCCGGGTAGGATGCTACACGGTAGAACTCGTAGCCGGCAGGCACTTCGTACTTCCGGAAAAACTGATCGATGCCAGCGAAAAGGGGCGACTCGTCCGACTCGCCAATAAAGCGATGCAACAGCGCACTTATAGACGCATGCGAGTAATCGAGGTCTTGAACAGGGTCCGTGTGCAGCAGCAGCTGGTTTTCACTAAACTCCAGAGCTGCATCGGCATTGGGAAAGAAGCTCTTTTCGTCCGCGATCTCGTTTTGGACAAGCAAGCTGCGGATCTCGGGCAGCACATCCGCAAACATGACAGTAATTCCATTGCGTTTGCAGTCCTGCTGCAACGACATAAACGCACTTCGTGCCGCTGTTGCATCCATACCAGAAACACGGCTGAAGTCCATGACAACGTATTCGGTCGGTAGCCCATCAGGATGCGGGGCGGGGCTGCCATCTAAACGCATGATTGGGACATCTCGCTTGGATACAGGTGTAAGGGGAATACTCGAGTCATCGACAACCGGCAGTTCCACACCCACTTTCTTACCCGACTTTTGCTGTTTGTCGATTCGGGGCTTGCGAACGTACACCGCTTTTTGCACGTCTTCAAGAATCTGCACCGATGAGCCAAAGAAAAGGTATCCGTACAACTCCAGGTACACGATGGCGTCGCGCTTCTGACCGAGCAGCGTGCTAGCAGCAAGTTTTCGCACAGCAGCAGAGGAGCGTGATCTGCGAGCGACGACGCGCACTTGCGCGTAACCGATCATGAAGTTGACGATAGCGAACCCAATGCCAAGCACCATTCCGAGCTCGAGCGAGACCATGTTGATAGCGATGAAGGAGAGCCACAGAACGATGTACTCCCGAGGCAAGATCTTGTGGTACACGTGAACAAGCCACTCCATCATCAAGTCGACTGCGATAAAGATCAACACGGCTGCGAAGAAAAACCGCGGTACGAGGCTCATGATCGATAACGGTACAAGCACGATGGCGAACTCCGAAATAATGACACAGACACCCACGACTCGCGAGTTCGTCTTGGAGCGGTATGTGAAGATGGTCTGCGAGAAAATGTACGAGCCAGTGTAGCCGCCCAGCAATCCGCTGACGAAGTTGGACCAGCCGACAGATTTCAGCTCATGATTGATGTTCAGCTGACTGCCCATGTCCATCTCGATAGCTGCCACATCCAGACACGACGAGAAGGCCACAACAAATGTCATGCCGAGCCATGTCGTAAATTGCCGAGGGACTTGGTTCCAGTGCATTTGCGGCAAATCAAATAGATCAAACATTTGCACGAAACCAGCAGGGGCTGACACAGGGGCGACCCACCCGTAGTCGCGCGCTTCCTCCAGCGAGATCCCGCAAAGCGCCAGCACTACATAGAACAGCAGTGGCATCAATAGAATCGTCGCGGGCAGTGCAAATGAGTTCTCGCACCGCTGCGCCACCAGCAACAAGACAATGCCCCCCACCACGCCCGGGACACAGAGTACCATGTAGTGCAGGTCCCAGATATGCGTGAATGAGGTGAAGTCATTAATTACCAGGCCGGTACACAATGACAAGCCAGCATACAAGCAAAACAGGCCAATGTATGCGAGGTAGCCGCCCACGACGGGCATAGGCAGGTACGACACTAACCCTGCAAGCTTGAACTTCCCCAGCAGCACAAGCACCACACCGAGCAGGGCGGTGGCCAAGCCAATCGTAACGACTGTGGTTGTGACCTTGGCTTCCAGCGACACGTCTGGACCGAGCGAGTTGCAAATGGACGTCGCAATCGCACTGAGGAAAATCAGCCCTGCGTCTTGCACTTGGCCAATTGCGAACGGCAGCGTGCTCAAGAGCGTAAACATGACTTGGTGCACGACACTCGAGAACATCACGAGCTTAGACAGCGCGGGCATGAAGTTTGCAAAGTCCGGGTGACTAAAGATGATCGCCGCGTAGCCATACATACACGGGATCGTCAAGATCGAGTTGATGATGCCGTACATGAGAGCATTCGTGATGTCGCGCAAGTGGTGAGGCACACGCCAACGCCCTCTCAAGCTGCGGGTAGCCGTCTCCATTCTCGACGGCGTCTGACGGGTATGGCGATCCAATAGAGGAAGCGACTCGCCGCCCTCATGGTCCACCCAACTGCGACGCCGTCGACTGCGCGTGGATCCGTCAAACGGCTGCTGGCCGTTTCCCGCGAGACGGGGGGACAGCGAGCGGTCGAAGCGATCGCGTGAGGTGGCGTTGTGCCGGTGCTTGACGGCGCCGGAGAGCGCGGGCGAGTACATGAGGGAGGGGCCGCGACGCGCGCGAGAGGGTCAAGCGCTTTTGCGGACCAGTCATTGACCACCTGCGTCGAGCGAAAAGGGATCGCAATGTGTGGTCCACGTACTCGATATCCAGACATAGGGGTGGGCTGACTGGCCAATGTCCATCTCTTGTGCTCGCGTGTAATCATTCGACGTCTGTCTCTTGTTCCGCATGTAATCATCCGCTGTCTTGTCTCTTGTTCCACATGCTCGAATCTCTCGTCCGTCTCTTGCGCTTCCTTCTGCTCGATCGAATCAACGGTCCGTCTCTTGTCCCTCTCAATAGTCGGTCGACAGGCTGCTTCTCGACGCCACAATTGACGCTGCAGCTGACTCTCACGCCATCACGCTGAGACGAGAGATGCGTGTTCGTGACTACCCACGCCGTCGCGACATCGGATTGTCACGATCGTTCTCTTCAGTCCTATGTGCATTCCGTATGCAGGTGCTGGACCGGGCAATTTTAAATGTCGCTATCTTTATCATTGCTCCGTCCATTGCAAATTGCATCGATTGAGGAACCATGCAGTACGGGAAAGAGCTTCGATCAAGCGTCAAGGACCCAACCCATCGACATGTCAAACACGAAAGCTGCAGTGATGCGCGGGACCTTGCACACCATGCCTGACATACCGTCTTGGAACGGCAAGAAGTGCGCGATGGTTGTTAATGGGCATATCCAGCATTGAGCTGGAGCACAGATTGCTTCGCTCTCGCACTACATACTCACATTCTCACACGACAGCGCAAGATACGTCACGTTATAATTCCAGACTGCTCCACGAGCCATGTGAGCTTCAAACCAGTAAACGCAGTGGAGGCATTCGACATGATTGCCATGCCATCTTGACCAGTGTTAGCTTCAGTCGACCCCGAAGCATCTTGGCAAGCACTTGGGACCGAGAGGTGGAATTGAGTCAACAAGTGATTTTTTGGTGCTCGACGTATACAAGGCTCTCCCATTTCAGAGGATAGTTCAACTAAGCACATCCTTTTGGCGCGATGAAGTTGTTTGCATAACTTGCCAACGTGCACACTCGCTTCAGAAAGGTGTGCTACAAACATTGGTGTTGTTCTCGATCGGGATGCTAAGCCTTGATACCTCATTCGGGTTGGGATGACGACAGTTCATCTCTAGGGACAAAGAACCAGAATGCGACAACTCCGGCAATCGGTGCCAACCTAGGTCTGCTTGATCGACATGCCGTGTCAGGGATCACCATGTGATCACGTCAAGTGCTCTGACGACAAGACGCGAATCACCAGAGTCAAACTGCTGTGTGGTGGTAAATCTATACAGCGCTAACAAACATGCACTCTTGCGAGTAACTAGTTTCCCTGTGATCGGACTGCGCCCGATTGTGGCAAAAACTCAGCAACGTTCCCGTGACGACACTACAAAGTTGAATGATGAATGTTTACACCTCTGGTGTATTGCAGGTATCTGAATGCTTGTGCGTTACAGGAACTCATTTAAACAGCAGTGTGCGAATTCCTATCCTTCAGTTGAAGCGTACCGTGCCGCATCATGTATCCATGTAAGTCTGTCTACATGTCCGGTGTATCAAGCGTCGACGTTACAGACATAACACCTGCAACCATGTTTTGCTACAATAGTTCCACTCGGCACATTGCAGCACGATGGTACACTTGGACAATGACGGGATGGGTGCTTGCGAGCACCGTCAAGTATAAGCGAGTCTGCAGTCATGGCTTGTTCACTAGCAACCAAGTCCATCTCAAAAGCCTGCCTACATGGATGGCACGTTCACTAGCAACCAAGTCCATCCTGTTGGAACTAATGAAGGCAGGCCCGTGTCAGCACACGAGATTCAATCATCCACGGCACGCACCTTAGTTGCAAGGAAAATGCAATAACTGTCGCTGACATGACAACGACACAAAGGAGGGCGACAACCACGTTCTTGGAAGACAGATGCTTCTACGCATCTGGTGTGTATCACCTCACCTACCCATGACGAAACGGATGGATAAAAGAACGGAAAATGACATACCTCGAGCAATTCACGCGATCAAAAGAAATGGTATTGTCCAACGCGAGTCAGGTGAAAGGGAGATGTTCACCTCACATGGCAAAACGCTGCGACGGCTCGTTTATCCGTGATAGCGGCAGCCGGTTATTCTGTTGGGTGCATAGTGTGGAAGCGTGCGGCTTCCCTTGCGCGATCCTACACTATATCGATCTGCGTGCACCTACCTCGATGTCCGCCAACCGACTTTCTTGCCTCTATCGAGACGTGCGGGCAATCCCGTTCACTCGTTGCGTTTGCGTACTCGTATGCACGCTAGCTGTTGACTCAGCGGTATCCAGCTAGTGGCTCACACAAGCGCACGCACGAAGTACCGACGATGAACAGGGGCTCAAGCTGCAATATGAATCCCCCGTGCGAAGCCAAGCCGATGAAGCAGGAAAATGAGGCCACGATGTAGGGTGCGCGAGAACGACGCGATTGCTTTACTTTCTACTGACGCTTCTCATGTCAGTTTGCGGCTTTATCGCAGACGTCGCCAAGTCAAGGACAAGCGAGACTGTTGTACTGCACTAAATAGTACGAAACGCAGACGGCGGATTCCCGTTTTGCCGAATTAGTTGCGTTATGGGGTCACGGCAATCGATGTTACGACAGTTTGTAGCTTGAGTTGACGTCCTGAAACACACGACCACGTCGCCCATCATTGATGAAATGGAACCTCGTCTTGTGTCGTTCGCCAACACCTGGTCTCAGCTTGTCCGAGCAAGGTCGACGTTCGTCTGGATCATGTGTATGCATAAACCGAAGAAATAATGCTTTCACGCGTTGCGAGTTCGCCTTTTACGAGCAACAGCAGCCGAGCGACGAAAACGATCTCCAAAGCGCCGGTGTACTAACGCTCGTATACCCTGGGCAGAAAGTGCCCGACAGTGAGGCCCAGGTTTAGATACATGGGCCCTCCTTTCCTTTGCGTGTGCCACAAGAGGCAGCGCAACGTGTGAACCGGAAGGAGGCCAATCGACTAGACATTTGAGGCGTGGGGCATGTCGGTAGAGTATCGGACGCCGGTGCACATTACGCAGGCACCAACATGTTCTTGCTTTTCTGCACCTTCCTACAAGTTGCTGACCCGCTTGCCGGGTGCGAACCTCGGTCCCGCGAAAAGGACTCAACCAGACGTGATGTGCCCGGTCGATTTGGTAGCAGAGTTGGATGCCAGAGATGAGTTGAGATGGACCATCGAGTCTGTCCGAAGTGGTGACTGGCTTCCCTTTCAGATGCTGCAGGCATTTCAGACTGGGTCACAGATCACACACGCGCTTTTTCGAAGTGTCTTTTCTTCGTGGCACCCGACGTCTCGTGTCAGCAAAATGGCCGAGAAGAAGAGGAGACAATGTAGTCATGGCCGACCCGGGCATACCGATATCTTAGAATTAGTCATAAGTACTTGATCGACAGTCTAATCATGTCTCGGCTTAGCTATGCCCTCCCTTGTTCCTCCGTAGTGTCTACTCTCCGCGTCTATCTAGAGGTGCGCCTCGTTCGCAGCAGCCGTTTACTCTGGGAGGGGTCCAATTCGGCGACGAAGGCGGGACTTTGTGATCCAATCCCCTAATTTGGTGAAGAGAGCGCCAACAGCTTTCATCGTCGGCGCCAAATCACTTGTCGTACCGTGGAATCGCTCTTCGTTAGTAGCAGCCGATACGGTCGCTTCAGCGTGTTTGGTATCGCGGCGTCGAAGCGATCTTCCTCGACGTGCATCAGGCGCGGGCAGATTGTCAAACGTGAGTGGTCGCGCGAGAGGGGAGGAAGTCGTAATCGTTGACGTTGTCTCGAACGGATTGAGCTCCGGGCTAGCTGCGACAGCATTTCTGTGCACAAGAACAGCAATCGTGAGAGCAGCGACGAACACGAGCTTCATGTTGTAGCCCGACGAAGAGGTTTCCTTGCTTGAGCAGTGCCGAGTGAAATGGAAACTGGGGAGTAGCGGTGCTATCTTTGGACACAGTCACCATCGAATCAGTCTTTCTAGCGACATTTTCGACATGAAGAATGTCGTCAGATATGGACTTGCAATTCTGCAGGCTGTCACATTCGGCGTGCACCGGCTCAAAGCACTCGGTCGTTTGTATGACACTCGGGAGCGTATGCTCCTGAGTCTTATTGCACTGCTGAGCACACCAAACCAATGCGGTAACGCGATCTGCCACAGACTGTCAAAACTGTCGCAGCCGATCAGACGTGTGCACGTCTTCTGCGGCGTATATCGTAATCGGAGCAGGGGCTACAGTTGCTGCACAGGAAGACGGTTGTATGTATCGTGTGAGGAGGGGCTTTGCGGAATCGTCACTTCGATATAGAATTCGAAAGAAGGACAGACCAGGTGATCAACGAAGACGCGAGCTAAATAAACAGATGCGGGGATCAATTTCATGCGCATAAACGACAGACAACGAGCTGGGGCAAAGACTATTCCGGTGCAACTTTGTCCTGGTTCCTTACGTGCAATCATGCAGAAAATGCTGCCTACATGTAGCGAACAGGAGTGTGTGCAAGTTCCCACTGATACTACAATGCAAAGAGGACCTTGTGTCTACGATTTCGATATTATTATCACACGAAGCAGCGGCAAATCAGCGGCGACTCGTCGTCTACATGATATGACAATATTATTGCCACTTGGCCGAGGTCATCGTTGACGAAAGCCGCAGCCTCGTTGATTGTAATGCCGCATCTTTTCGACTCGCATCTGGCAATGGCGCGAGATGTGCGCGAATTCGACACACTCGTTAGCATAGTGGATTTTGTGCTGCTCGGACATGGCATACACGCTAACAGAATGTCGTGACAATCGCTTTGGTTGAACCTGGGCGCTGACTTCAGTATTGCCCCGAAATGCCGACGCAACGCCGCGAGACTTACGATCCAGCATGTCTCTCACAAGCTCTAGTGATGGGTTGGCCGTTGCACATGGCCATCGGTACGCACATCAGGCTCACATCCGTCGATGCGGTAATGTTCGGCATGAAAAGCGTTCGGCCCCCGACGACATGGTTTGACAATCGAGTTCCGCTCAACGCCGATCATCCGTTTTGGCTACTGTAGAAGGTAGCTTTATCAGGCGTACAGTTCACGCACGTTTGTATGCAATGGGTCTAGACGCTCTCTTTTGACCCGGAAGTTTCAAGGATGCGGTTATTGGTACAATCGTGATGTATTCCTTTCCTTCCGTCGTAAACAGAATGGGTCGTGCGACTCGGGAAACAATGCATGACGGTCACCCGCTCTTGCCATTTCTGGCGCGCGTCACTCAATCACGCGTGCAACGTACACCCATTCGGGTCGCACCAAGACTGGCTCATGCGCGACACCGTTGAAGAATTTGCGAGGCGCAAGGCTTGATCAAATACTGAACGAACCAGGTCTTTCGCTCGCACGCATGCTTGTGTGCAATTCGCTACGCGCTCTCTTCCATATACAAGGCGCAATCGTCGAGGGGTTGCACGAATGCTAGGGGGCGAGTTCATTTCCTGATGCCGAACCTGTCACCATCGGGTCCATCGAGCTCGTCATCGCCCGACGTCATCTTTCCTTTTTCCTTGTCTCGGGTCAACCCGACCCGATCAGGATAAAGTATGGTTGGCTGAGCTGTATCCGTTTTGTGGGAAGTGTAAAGGAGCAGATTGGTATGAAGGAAAGTCTACGATATTTAATGATTTATGTCCTTCCAAGTCTCAACTGCTCTCGACTACAAGTGTATGTTCCAGTCATACACCATGAAAGTGTAGAGCGTCGAAGAATGCTAAATCGATCTGTTAAACCTAATCAGCCCAACCACTTCGTAAGCGGGTCAGTGAACGTACGAACTGATTGGATCTGCATTGTCACGAAAGTGTGTTCGCCCAGCCTGGTCTTCGTATAGATTACTTTTTGGCTTGACGGACAGTGAAAAGTGAGTAAATGCGATGTCAGGTGTGTACAAAAATACCTAACGCACCCCAGTACTCACGCTCACATCAATTGCCAATTCATGTAGCTAGAAATGGTACATAATATATCGGCTATAACTCCTTTATTGTCACGCTAACGCGCAAACAAACATCGTATTGAGCAGTTGATCAGTCACACGACCCCTGAGCTCCAGTTTACACATTTCGATGGCGTCGTTATCGAATTCGCAGCGTCTGAAAGCTTTGGTATTGGTTGTTGTAGATTAATCTTGGTGTACTCGTCATGCCACTCAGTATGCTGCGTCGCTTCGACAGCCTGTTGTGCGCGAGAGACAGTATTCTTGTAGTCCATCAACTTTGTGTACTTCTAGGATTCCGGCTGCCCAACGTATAGTGTGCTATACTTATTACCGAGCTTTGCAACATATACCGACGCAGCGAAAAAACTGCACATTTCCAAATCACGTGGCGGTAAAGACAGGAGTATACTATGCTGGTATCCAAGAAGGAGACAAGAGCGCAAGATCGAGCCGCGCAGCGTAAAGTTGCATTGCCCAGGTAGCAGCTGATTCATCGAGAGTCTAAATTGGTGTGGCAAGTTGGACGGAATACGACCGCTCATTTATATTCTTTTGAATGCTATCATCGAATGCAATTCTAATACCCCCCGGGGTGTTGGGAATATTGACTCGAGCATTGCAGCTTTACAACCCGAGCCGCTACAATTTTCAGGAAGTGATCTGCTGCCAAGACTTGCACAACTGGTAGTGCTAGCTTTCTAGTCCCGACGTTAGCGCAATGCATCGATACTCTCGACAGTCGTGCGTTCCACACGCCGGCAGTCGAATCTACTCCATTGCGCTGCAATCGCGCTGGATACGCCGCTCTGTCCCATTGCTACTGGTGATAAGTGCTGGCGCGATTGCAGCACGTCGATACGAGGCTCTTTTTGACGGAGATTCGGACACACCCTGCTAACAAGCCTCGTTCTGGTCCCAAACAAATGGAAAAATGATCAATGTTACACATGACGAACTGGCTGGCGATCCGGCTATTGTGATGACACGGAGCCACGAACTTGCCTGCATGACTGTACAGGCTACGACATATGGAACGAACCCGATGACAGATGTGACATCGAGCTTGACACCTTCGTACGAGCCATTTGATGGGTCGATGCCATGTTGGACCCGTGCGCTTTATTCATTTCTGACGTCACTCTCGTCCAAAGCTGTGCAAAGCCCGTCTACTCTGCCTTGTTTTCTGGGGCATCTTGCTTGACATGCGTCGCAGCCAAAAAACAACGTCGTGATACAAACTGCATCCTACGATTCATCTCATACGGTTTACGAAGCAAATCTTGGCGATCTCCGGGGTCGTTGAGCTTTTTCGAAAATGACATCGTCACCAAAGTCACGACTTTCGCCGAGAACTAAAACTCGACGAATTGACGATCGTAGTAGGGACATACGAGTGGTGGTACATAGGTACACAGACATAACGGTTATTCGCGCACGCGTGCTCGGCTATGGGAAGGAGCTCTTGACGCAGGTTCTGCTTCGTGCCATTCTTCCAAACCAGGACGTATTTGTCAGGTCCTGATCGACTTCGGCCGACTGCTTTTGCTGTGAGAATCTCTGACTTGGTCGACGGTAACATCCGCGTGTCCTTTCGGGAATCACCCCGGAATGTCGGGATTGTCGCGCCAGCAGAACAAGTAAGCGAGAAGGAGAGTGCCCAAGTCATGATCATCTGACCGAGGTGGTTACCACATATCCGAGATCTTGCATTTGTAGTTAGCTGCACGGATATACACAATTCGAACTCTCTTTCTCTATCTCAGGGAAAACGCAAATGTCCATAGACGCAACTATCGGTGCGAATACGATGCCGGGTCTAGGCCGTTGTATGGACATACGCCTTTGTTCCAGTCCCAGTTTTGACCTGTGTTTGCGAACCCAGCTATCATGTGCTCCAGGCACACAGAATGAACACACCTCCATTCTCTGCCGCCCATCCTGCTGCACACCTAACATCGGCCAGCCGATTATCTATCTAGGTACAAATGCGGTAGGCGAAAAAAAAGCGGATGCACCAACGAACCTGCTGCGCACAGCTGTGGAGACCTTGGCGGCGGTGCGAGTCAACCATTGCACCGCTAGGTGAGAGCACTACGTCGACAGTGTCATAGTGTGGTCAGCGTACTGCACCTCGACTGCATGCTAATCATAGGAATCGTCAGGTAGGCAGACAGTAGCGCTAGACTGCTACTTTTTTTACTCATACATGTCGAGTCACCATTTGTGAAAAGTACGATTGTCCTTGCAGTCGCGTTTCGGTGTACGAATTGCAGGGACAAACAAACATACGTTTGAAATAGTCCGTTGCTTCGATCTTATCGCGGCGACTGGCGCTCTTGTCTAGATATACTCAAGCTCTTCCGATAAAAAGGTAAGCCAACTTCGTACCTAAAGAGCATTCCGTGTTTTTCTTAAGCTACTCCTTTTCGTATCGACCAAAACCCCATCGCTGTTGGTTTCACCCAAATGTATCACGTGCCCACTACTAAATACGCGAAAAAGAGCCCCATTTCCCGGCTTCTTTTTTTGTCGTGTGTGTTTCTATTTACAGCAAGAAAAAGTTCTTTCTGTAACATATAAAACGCGTGTTTTTGTGCCGTACCCTATCGAGTGTCGAGGAAACGTACCCCTTTCAGAGCCGTTACGTCTCACTTTGAACTGGCCGAATACTGTCGTTGCTGCTGCTGCTGTCCATGGCGTCGCGTTTTTCCGCCTGCCGTCGCGTGCTCGCTGTGCCCCGCAGTCTCGTGTCCCAGAACAAACGGCGCTTCCAACAGGACGGGTTCGACCTCGACCTCGGATACGTGCACCCGCGCGTGATTGTCATGGGTACGTCTCGGTCTCGCCTCGACTGCACGGGTTACGAACGCGCGGCTACTAACGTGTGTGACGTGGTACAGGGTACCCCGCCGTTGGCGTGGAATTTCTGTTCCGGAACCCTCGCGCCGAAGTGCAGTCGTTTCTGGAGGACCGACACGCGGGCGACTATTTCGTCTTTAACTTTTGTGACGAGCCGAAACGGAGGTGACGTGACCATTAGTTGTGTGTGTGTGTGTGGGTGTGGGTGCTTTTTTTCGTTTCTTTTTTTTCTCTTGAGAAGTCCTCTTTTTGCCTGCAGCAAACGTTTGTTGTTGGTTGACGGGTGTTGTGTGTTGTGCACCTTTTGTCGTTGCTGCTGTTGCTGTAGCTACTCGCCCAGTACGTTTGATGGACGGGTGAAGCGCTTTCCGATTGAAGACCACAACGTCCCGTCGTTCCAGACCATGTACAAGCGTAACAACTAGAAGAGACCTGGCGAGGTATGGGCGAAAAAGCAGGACTGAGTGGGGGTCTGCTGTGTTTTCGCTTCTTGTGATGTGCGGTGTGTAGGGTGGCATTCTGTGAAGAAGCTGCAGCTTGGCTGGAAAGTGGTAAAAACCACGTCGTAGCGCTTCATTGCAAGGTACGGCGACTCATGGGGCGAGGTTGTTTTGCTGATCAGAAGAACTTGACGTGCGAAAATCGATGTCAGGCTGGGAAAGGAAGAGCTGGAATGATGGCGTGCATGCTTCTCCTACGAATGGGGTACGCCACCACGGCGACAGACGCGATCAATTGCTACAACAGTGAGCGAGTGCGCGATCACCGCGGACTCACAGTTGTGAGCCAGAAAAAATGGGTGGCCTACTATGCAGCTTTGCGAGTACAAGCGTCGGTGCCTCGGAACAATATTTGCGCGGAGCCGACAATTACTGTCCACAAGCTGACGCTAAATAACACGCTGACAGCGACGAAGTTGCCAAGGTTGCGACTACGCATCTTCACGTTAGCCTCGAACGGGCTATCTAAGACGCTGGTTCATCAAGAGATCGGCTTCCATGAGTTCGAGCTGCGCCTAGGGATTCGCGGCTGCGTCATGATTGAGTTTCGCCGCGAGCGCATCAATGGATGCGTGCGGGCCAAGCACTTCAAAGTCTGGTTCAACACTCATTTCCTCAAGCTAGGAGGTGCGTTTGATGTGACAGGTTTGAGCGCGTTGATTGGTAGTGACGCTGTGGTGTTGGTATTTGAGCACAGAAACTGGGCGTGTGGCGTTTTCTCGATCTGAAATGGACTGGACTGCTCAAGATAAGAAGTATCACCGTCTTCCTGCTGCCTTTGAGCTAACGATGATTGTGTCGAAGTCGAACTCTGCGTGAGTACTCTCTGACGCTACACCGTCATGAAGGACGCAGGCTTGTCACGCGCGTACATTTATATTTATATTGAATATTGACGTTTGTCCAAACCTTGCTCCTTGACGCTGTAAGACGTCGTGCGTCGACGACTGTAGCTGCATCATCGATGGCACAATTGATCTTGGGTCGATCAACGATGCCACGATCGTAGTGCTGGAGTAGGTAAACAGCCAACATCACGCAGGCTTCAGTCTTGCAGTGTGTCCTTTCACATTCGCACGCTTTCATGTCCTACTGATGCTGTTTGTGCACACTTCATCGTGCAATCAGCTATCAAACATCGTATTTGCACAATATGCAAAGCGGTGCTAGTTGACATTGGCAAAGAAGATGACGGCTAGTTGCAGTCGCACTTTTGGCAAGATATCTCGAGCAATTATCGGCTAACTTGGCAGTTGAAGATGTGGTGAGTAGCGCAAAAATAAGCACGTCGATCGGGTGTAGGGCGACGAATGCGGACTTGGAATTGTAGGAGATATTAGAGAAAGAATAATAAGAACTGCATCCGATAGTCACAAAAGAATTTGAACTACACAAATAATGATGTACTAACGACGTGTACAATTTGTTCAAACATGCACATGTTTACGGTCACGTCGAATGATGTTGGTTCAGTCGTTATATGATATGTACAAACGTCAAGGCACTTTGACAGATTCATGTCGTCAGTGGTTCGGCAATGCTGGATCGTTTGATATTTCCATTGACCACTTCCTTGTGCACGAACAAATCCGTTGACACGCGTGCGTCTTTGCTACAGAATGCATAGGCTCTACGGCGCGAGCATCACGATTCTGTGTAATCGCAAGTGGACCGACGGTATCGATAATGTAGCTACTGAGTTGTCAATGTGCTACGTGTTCGATGTGGACCGAGTGGTCAAAGGTGCACAAGCTGGTAAGCATCATGTCATCCGCCGAAGATCGCGATATTGCACCCATCGTCACAGCATTCGGACGCCAACACTCAAATTGACACCGTCGTCACTACCCCAGTTAGTGGCTTCTTGTGTGACAACCATATCACTCCAGCAACATGCGGGCTATACTAGCGCGCATTCCACTTAGTATGGTCCGCGACAGCACCATCATTTTCTGTCGGCCTTTTCAGTATCATATCTGCTCTTGCTATCTCCTTTGTTCGGCATCGTATATGCTGCATCAGGCGCAGTAATATACAGCGACACTTTGACACGGCGCCAACCCTTCCCAATCCTTTCTAGCGATACCTACCGCCAAGGCGACAGCTACACATAAACGCAATATCAAACAAGTTGTGTACGGACAAAAGAGATAAAAGAGACGCAGACTCACAGAAGACAGATAGTGTGCACTGTTGGACTACGCTCGAAGAGCCAGCGCACCTGTTTCCACTTGCTCAACAAAATTTTGACTGCAGAAAGCGCAACTGCATTTGTTGATCAAGTACGAGAAGAAACGAAGAAGGTACACGTGAACAGACGGATGATTCCAGGCATGTGTATATTCGTACGTATCAAATACGTCGTCAGTGCCTTACTTCTATTTTCTATCTTGTATGGCATGTTTTGTTTATTTGGCGTGCGTTTGTCCTTTCTCATCTTGTAGTGCATTTTTATGTTCGTGCTTATCTTCTGCCCTTTTTGTATCCTCCTTTTGAACATCAATCAATGAGATCTAAAATTTTGCCGGGTGAGGGCTTATTGACGCAAAGGGGAAAGACGACCGATATTTTTCCGTAGAAAGACGATTGGAAGCCATACAGCGCATCCAGATTATGGACACGCGGGAATGATCTGATGCGACCAGCAAAGGGCCCACTGTCCCTCCAGTCGCTTGTCTCGCTGTCCCTCTGTCCGCCATAAATAAGCTCTGACCCATCAAATGCGATTATTTGACTCATAAAAGGGTCTTTTCCGCTTTCTGAAGCGGACCTCGTGTCGCTGTCTCATCATTCGAAACGGGCGAGTCATCATCCAAAGTGTGTGTCACGAAGATAAAGACAGACCCCTCTGTGTCACAAAGATACAGACAGACCCCTCTGTGTCACAAAGATACAGACAGACCCCTCTGTGTCACGATACCAAACTTCAGTATCCCAACGAAACAAGTTCACTGCCACGATCAGTGGCCGCCACGTTTCGTTTGCTTCGCATTTCTCAACTTTCCCTCTCGCCCTATCGTGTGACAACATGAGGCTCACGTGCTTCCTCGCTCTCACGTGTGCCGTTCTTGAACGCAGTCATGCTATCGCGGAGTCCGAAGTCGCGCTGACGTCGGATATCGCCCCTGTTTCCCGTATTCTCCAGCCAAACGCTCAGTCCGCGGAATACTCAAGTGAAAGGAAGTCGCTTCGAAGCCGTGATTCGCCAGAGGAGGAAGCAACGGCATTACTTGCCGTGGACGAGGAGCGAGTGCTGGAACCGGCTGGCCTTCTAGCACCACTTCTTGATAAAGTGGCGAATGTGATGAAGAAGATCTGGAGTAAGCCATCCCAGTTTTTGCCTGTTCAGCTCAAGCTTGATCAGCCTAAGCTTAGCCGGTCGAATTTTGATCAGCTCGAGCTTAATCAGCTCAAGCTTGACCAGATCAAGCTTGGTCAGCTCAAGCCTCCACAGCCTGTGCCCGGTCAGTTTGAGCTTCACGTGCCGCCACATCAGATAGGGAAAAGGACGTCGACAATGCAACGATCCGAGAGAGTGGCAGATCTAGTCGCATATGGTCGAGGGAAAGCCAGGCCGTCGACATTGCAACAATCCGAGCGACTGACGGATTCAGTTGCATTTGGCCACAAGGCGGCCGGGCCGTCAGCATTAAAAAAATCCAAGAGAGCGGCAGATCTGGTTGCACATAGTCAAAAGAAGGCCACGACGCCGACAATGAAACATCCAAGAGAGTGGCAGATCTAGTTGCATATGGTCAAGGGAAGGCCAGGCCGTCGAGACTGCAATGATCCAAGCGACTGACGGATTCGATCGCCTGTGGGGCTCGAGGCCACTGAAGACAAGTGCCGAACGTCTCAGACGACTCGGGGGGTGGGGGTCAGGTCAGAACTGCAGTCACAACGAGTAGTAAAAGTAGGGCGAACATAGACGACTTGTCGACTTGTACACAATGAATTTACACCTGCAGGGACAATTGATGACTGGGCGTTTGTGTCTTGCTTTTTCCTTCTGGCCTCACTCGCCTTCTGCTTCTTTGCTCTCAGCGGTGTTTCGTCACGTCGACCCCCGTTTCGCCAGCTGTCTTTTAGCATCGACTACCACAGTCTTCGTCATACTCCCACAGTCCCACGACCGACGATAAGGTCGTTCTTGAGTCAATTGTCTGCTACCGCGTGTTGCAAGTCGCCCGTAACACAGTCGCCACGTGCACAACTCGCACACTCGCTCGCGATTGGTTCGACGGCCTGTGCTATCTGCATACGAGGGCATCGAGGTCATTATTAGCCAATGCGATAGAAAACAGAGGAGAAGAGACCGATGTACAGGACAAAAAGCAGCGGGAGACGCTGGATGAAGGGCACGTGAAGAAGAGGCGAGACGCGCAGGAGAGACCGCTCGTTTTTATTGAAGCAGTAACAAGAGGCGAGAGAGATAGATGAGAGAGAGAGAGAGAGAGAGACGAGATGAGTCCCGCGCGCTGGACGATTTGATTGCCTTCCGTCTGTTCGTGTGCCCGACAACAGACGGACGGCAATAAAAGAGACAATGAGACGTCGTTGGGTCTGGACGTGCATTGAGCAGCACCACGTTGCGGCCGCGTTCTTTGATGCGAACAAACTTGTGGCCATGGGAGACGGTGATGATGGGGATGATGCTGGAGCTAGAGCTCGCACTAGAGCTAGTGCTGGAGATGGTGCTGCTATCGACGGGCACGACGTGCTGCTGTTTGCAGTCGCGTGCTACTGGAATCGAGCGTTTCATCGCGCGATTTACGCAGTAAGGGAGCCAGGTTGGTGGACGTGGACGGTAGCAAACGGATCCGAGCGAGGCTGTCTCTTCATGTGACGCTGCGTGCAGCTTGGGCGTTGGGAAAGTGTGGGGTAGGAATATGCTGCTGCGGTTTTGAATTTGGACACTGACGTTTTGAGTTGTGTGAGCTCGGGGCTGATTGTGGTTGTGGGCTTTTAGCCGGCGATCAGACAGAAAGACGAGTGCTTGGATTCTTTGAAAGCAGGGATGCCTATAGTGGAGCAGGACGATGTACGACTGGACAAGAACATGCAGCCGGCTGGTACTGCTGCGGACGAAGCACATGGATTGAATGTGGTGGCGTCGCTGGCACTTTTGATGGTGAGACGTTCGAAGTCATTGGCAACCGCGAGAACGCGACGACTTACTTTCGTATTGCGCTGCGGTGCGGCGTGCAATGTCGGCGTTTTTCGTTCATTCGACGAATACATGCTGTCACCTCAGGAGGAAAAGAGCTTGTCGCATTGCTGACTTTTATCTTGATGAAACGCAGTTGCTGGAGCGTCTAAAGCGGACGCACATTGGAAAAGTGATTCACATATCGATACTTATGCTGCAGTCTGAATGTCTCACGCGGTCTTTCATGCGGCTCGGCAGCACAGTCCAGTACAGTCTATCGGCGATAAATTTGCCACGGAGGAGCAACAGTTTGAGCTTGTGGGGAATGCACACTCGTACGCGGTCATTGATCTCCCGTTGGCAAAGTGACTTTGATGATCGATACGTCTTCACCGATGTGAACGCAGAATGTGACAAGAGCATAGACGCGTTAGGATCAGCGTGATCTACAGCGAGCGTATGCCACATGTGACGGTACATGCGTTGGTCTGGTGATGAAACGTTGCATTTATTTAGCGGAAGGAAAAAAGCTCATGGTTGCTGTGCAACCTCGTTCGTATGCGTGGTGGAGATCCATTCAATTTCCGCGTGATTCCCGGACATGTATGTAAGCAGTAGAAATTGGCAAGAAGCGCGAGTTTTTTCAGTGCGCACACAAAATGGCTCGCAGCTTTCGTGTCGTTTTGTCGTGTGCTCATCTCGTGAAATTGTGCGATGCTAAGTTTGCTCTTCACTGGACTTTAGGTGGACGTATACCCCACCTAAGCATCGGCTTGGTATACAGTGGGCTGCTACTACCTTTTGTCTCAGAATTTTGAAGCTGCACAACGCTATTTTCGATGGGTAAAAGGTGTGATACGTGGCATCGAAGTATACGTCGTAAACTCTGCCATGCGGTTTGCCGCAAGGCAATATTGTTGGAGCCACGCTTGCGCCTGCATGAATTTGCGCTTGGGAACTCGTTTAGCGCTCAGGACAAAAGTGATTTGGCAATACCGTCGTGCCGAACGGCCTCGAGTCTTTTTCCAGGATCTCGTGTGCCCGTTTTGTATATGGAACTGAGGTTTTGCGTACGAACAACTTGGTCCAAGCCCAAGATATAATCCGTCAAGCAGATCTTCTCAGCCCGTCCGACCTGTTGATTGACACGTAATGTGGAGTGCCTCTACAAGCAAAAATAGTAGTAATCAAGCAACCATGGCGTTTATGAATGCTATACCGCTATGCAATGGCCTTCCTGAGGTAAGTATCGATGTCATCGCTCAGAGCGTCCAGCTGGAAATCTAATATTCGACAAACTTTTAGCGCAAGCGGCTCATGTAAGCTTACTAACCAACGCTTTTCCACTGTGGGTACTCTAGCGCAAACATGAGTATGCGCAGCATTGATGCTGAGACGAAACATGAATTTTCCGATCATCTTGGCTGTCTTTTTTCGTCACGGGAAAGTTTGACCAGGATATTCACTGTTTTCACCGTGCACTCAGACGAGCACCTCAGAATATACGTTGCGTCCAGAGCAGGATGAGCTTCGATTCGGGTCTATCTGATCACCCGCATTCAGAGCAGGATAAGCTTTGATTCAGGACTATCTGATCCACGTGAGATTATCGCAGTTGTCGGCAAGTGTCAGCAGCGTGACAAGTGTTGACCAGCCGAGACCAAAGCTGCGATTCAACGACAGGGGACTGAAGAGGTGTATGCGGCTGCTACTGCATGTACATATATTGGGCGAGTTGTTCAGTCTATAAGTGAAAGAAGATGCGATGCAAGCGGCTATGCAAAGAGACAAGTCGAGCTCGTGAAAAACAGAATAGTTGTGACAAATCGCACAGATGGCGCCAGGTAACACTGTAGAGCAGGCCCATTGCAGTCGCTGGATATAGCTCTGATAAGCACAGGAGATTGTCATTGCATATACTTACATGCGCGACGTGATAAAGTATAGCGTCGACACGCACCTACTTTATGTTCCCAAACAAGCGATCTCTCGATTCGATCACGTAACGCTTGCATCATCCCGCTTCAAAGGTTTCCTGAAGCGCAGCCCGAGCATGTCGTTCAGATCGCTGAAATCATGGCACACCCGCATCAAGCTGCTCGATAACGAGGCCGGACTTGGTCCGTGTACACACAACACTTGCTTCCATCCATGCGGTCTCATCATCAACAGCTAATGGAAAAATAACTGACTGCCGCTGGATGCTCATAAGGTGTTGGCAATATCGCTCGTCCACTTGTCAGGCATAATCTCGATGGTCGATGTAACGGGGTGAGCCCGTTACATAAAAATTGATACGAATGTATCGATTTTCGAATATTATCTATTTAGATAAAATTCAATCAACATTACTCAAAAAGAGTTGATGTTGGCAGAATCTTACCCCCGAGGGTAATATTCGTGGCTACCCCACTTCTTGGTTGCTGTAGACGCTACATCAACCAAATTAACCACCAATCGCTGCTGGGAGTGCGCAATTGATGGTGAGCAAGAAACCCACATAGGAGATTGCAGTTTAAAATAGTTAGATCAAGACAAATATGGCTTATTATAGAAACACAACTATATTAAATACAGTCCTACTTTTCCCTCACACAGAGCGTTCGGGTTCGGTCTACTTCCCCGCACTTCCTCACACCACGTGTACGTGACGTTGAGATTACACATCCTTTTGTTCGGTTTACACAAGGTATAACCAATCATCTGGCAAGAGCGTGCCTCGTTACAGTCGACGTAAGCACCAAAAAATGTCATACTCCGAGTCTTTACGGTCAAATTAAGGCGTACCTGTAACGGGGCACGCTCTTATGAGATGAATGACAAGAGCTTGTGTGAACTGAACACAAGACTGCGTACTCACGTCGTCACTTACACGTGGCGAGGAAGCGCAACCGAAGCAAACAGAAACTGAAAGCTCTGTCTAAGGGAAAAGTAGAACTGTTTATTTAATATAGTTATAACGTTCAAAGACCATCTTTATCTTGATCTAACTATCTTAAATTACAATCTCCTATGTAGGTTTCTTGCTCACCACCCATTTGGCGCGTCCAGCAGCGATTTGTGGTTAGTTTATTTGATGCACTGTGTAAATTAATTGATAAGTAGAGTACCGAATATTACCCTTGGGGTAAGATAATGCCAACATTACCTCTTTTCGAGTAATGTCAATTGAACATTATCTAAAAAGCCAAAAATCGATACATTCGTATCAACTTTTATGTAACGGGCTCACCCCGTTACATCACCTTCCCTTAACTATCAGTCACTCTAGTGAGTGACAAGATTGTTTGGTGACAGAGTAACCACTGTTTGGTCGCTTTGTGGAAAAGGGAGCACTTGTTTGTTCTGACCAACTCATCCCAGCTTTTCAGCGCATGACGATTTCATCCATTCTCTGGGCGAACAAGACCGCAGCTGGAGCGGCTGCAAGGATCCGTGTATCCGGAGAGCAAGCAGTCCAAGACTCGTCAGCAGGTATCTCATCGCCTGCTGCGGTTGATAAGCATCCGGCAACACCCAATGTTGTAGGTGCAAGTCGTCAATCACGTACAGCTTCTTCATCCTCAGCCAGAACTGCGTATGGCAGTCGCATGGACGTCGACTTTGAAATAGAGGTGGTCTATTCGGGCGCGTCGGACCTCCCGTCCGACTCGAAGTCTCCTGCATAGCCCGGTCGTAAGGCTGTGGGTGCGGGCCCGACGACTGCTGTCCTCCTGGTAGTCTCGACAAGAATCTACGCCATGGAATATTCGGCTCATCCGACGAGTATGAGTACTCGTCGCGGGGATTGAACCGATCGCGCTCGCATTCATTTGATGCGAGTGCGCATCATGAGTACGTTAGTTATCGTGATGATGTCAATGGCTCTTCACGGAGTCATTGAAGCCATAGCAATCCCAGTGATTGTGGCGATTGCAGCGCCATCATTTATGTCGGATCTGCGCAAGAGGAGAAAGATTGCAACGTGTTACGATCTACTCCTCACAAATAAACCATGGATACCTGTTCTGCGCAATCTGAGGCAGTGGTATGGCTATGCCACTGGGAATTATCGGACCCCGCTCTTCGATTCGTCAAGACTCCATGGTCGTGATGTCAGTTCGAGTGATTATCGCACTGAACATGAGCATTACATCGATATCTGTTTCAGACATCGATGATTTTTACGGCAACCGAAACCAAGACAAAGTTTCGTTGGTGCAGACGTGGAACCTTATTCATCGGCAACGTTGAGAATGTTGGCCGTGACGCTTGGCTGAACAAACTCATTGCATCTCGCAATAGGTTTGAGCAGAAGTCGCCAACCGGTGTTTGGTTTAAATTCTACCGGTTATCTCGAGAGGCAGGTTTACCTTGCCTCTCGTGGGGAGAGAACTGTCAGAGTGTGTTGACAACTCAGTTCGCGCCCCTAGGGATGCGTCTTCCCTAATCAACCCTACTGAAGGAAGCGCATCTCGGCTAAAATGTACAACGGGATTGAGAGCTTGCAATGCCTTTACGAACGCGCCGGGAGTTCGTGTGACGATGGACTTCCATTGAAAAGGGTGCGTCTCGTCGTAATTCTCGACGAGACCGGGGACATCAACCATCAGCTGAGCGCGGGGCTCCCAGCTGTTCCGAGAGGTTGGATACCCCCGCCACTGCACGAGGTAAGTCGTCCTTGATCCTGAATCGTCATGGTGGTTCAAGATACGCTTCACAAGGAAGTGTTAAACACCGTGTAAGTCCACTAAATAATGTGGTGGAGGAGGAAAACCCTCCTCCAAGTCTTTGAGCTCGGCATCTCGGCCAACTTGAGATGGATCGCGCAATTGCTGAATTGCTCGAGGGTTTAGAGCACGAGAGTGATAGACGCTATGCTCTGACCGATCCTGTGCGATAGAACCTCACGGATCGTGAGGCTGATCGTGCGAACGATCGTGCCGATTAATCCTTCGCACAGCTTCATGTCGAGCGGGATGTTAGTTACCTCGTTGGCAAGCTGGCGACAGCTCGCAGGGGGATCTCTCAGTTGAATGTAGAGTTTCCTCATTCCGCATTCATACTGATCGTCTGGAGCGCGAACGAAAGAACCTGATGAAGTTTATTGAGCGTGGGAGCTATCTTACAGATTCTTGAGCGTGGGGCTATCTTCATCGTTGGAAGTGGCCTCGTACTGACAGTACGGGCGGAGGCGGCCCACGTAAAATGTGGTATGCGTACGCATACTACGTGGCAGTTTGATCTTGTATGCGTGCCTTGTCGGCGCAGCACACGAAAGAGGCCGATGTACTTGGGCAGTAGTTTACTGCTGCTCACATTGGTCACTACGTGTCTAAGTAGGTTTATCATAGATAGTAGTAGGACTACGTCACCTTCGACAAACAAAT